TTTTCCAGGTCTGTGGATTCATTATGGGAAATGCGGACATTTTTCTTGTGCTTTGATTGGAACAGTCAAAGTTTCATTGTTGTCGCTGTAGGTTGTTTCTTGCTGGTGCCATGGAAATAGCTGTTTTCCCCAGCCCTGCTCTTGCTTGGTTTTCCCTTCCCCCCCCCCCTTCTGTTTCCCCTCGTGTGGCTTTATTTCTTTGCCCCTGTAGATTTTTAGGGAATTTCCTTGGAAGCATCTTGCTCCCTTCAAAAGCTACTCAGTTGTGAGACCCACCTCAGAATGAGGGCTCAACCCTGCCGCCAGCCCTTGGCTGAAAACCTGTGGTGCCTCCAGGGCTCTGTGCGGCTTTGGTGCCCCACGGCGGAGCACCTGCCTTCCAGAAAAAGGCAGCAGTGGGTCACCTGTGGGCACGAGGCGCTCGCAGATCGGTGGCTTCTACAGCAGCGGTGCGCCTTGCCAGGCTGCGACAGGTCTCTGCAGAAGCAGACTCTCCCAACCCTCTGGTGCCTCTTTGCCTGGAAGTGACCTTGCAGGCACGGGCTAAGCTGGGGCTGTTGCTTCAGGCCAGGGACACTCCTCCTCTGATTGACAGCCGGGTGTTCGAATGCTGGTCTGCACACAGAAGCCTTCCTGCGAGATATAGCAAGAGGGAACTTGGGCATGTCACCAAGCACACACTGTACCCACCTGTGGGAATCCCACCCCATGTGTAGGGACAGTAGGCTGCAGGTGTAGGATGCCCATGTTAGCCTGATCTCTGCTTCATCTTCCAGAATACCGCTTAGTACCTTTCACTTACTTACTCGTTTTTTAATCCAGAAAATCTTCTATTAAATCCAATGTATTGATATGTTGAACATCATATTAACTGTGCCCATATGCAGTGTTCCTAAATTGTCACTGGGGAGCTCTAAATCCATCACAGCATCTCAGCTGTAAGAGGATGGCGAGAGCGGTACCATACGTGGTAGGCAAGAATGGCAATTACCCAGCTCTCTATTTTAGGTGGTGTCGGAAGAGTTAAAGATTTATTTTGCACAGGAAGAACAGACTAAAACAAACAGCAGTGACAGTAATTGCTCTGGCTTGTTTAATTTTTGTTGTCAGTGGTGGGTTTTTATATGCCATCACTTTCATTGGCACTTAATTGCTGGCACAGAGCCTCAGCTGCTGAATTACCTGTCTCATTGCGATGGGAAGGGCTGTTACATCATTTGCCTTCTGAAGAAGCTGTGGCCTTTCCAGAGTTAAGGCTGGGTTATTTTTTGCTTAACACAGGTGCTAAACTTCCCTGTCTTGTGTTAAATACAAATGAAAAATCAGGTTGTCCTTCAAGCAGCTGATGGTGCTTGTGAGAGAGAAGGCTGCCTATAGCAGGGAGCCTGCTGGCCCCAGAGCTGGCAAGAAGGGATTCTGAAGCGGCACAGGAGAACCAGACAGAGTTTGCTGTAACTGTGAAAGCTACCAGCTGAACTGAAAAAGGAGCAGGAAGAATCCACCTACAAGCACAGTGGGCAAGGGGAGGGTGGTGTCTAAAGCTGTTCTATTTTCTTTAAATAGAAATCATCAAAGAGAAGAGGTCTAGGCCAAAGTCATGGCCACAGCTTGCTTCTGTCGTGGCTCACTGGATCTCTCATGGGACTTTCGCAAAAAATTCCATATGTTCATTGCCTGAGATTTTACCCTCCATGCCTAAAGGGCTTTGTACAGTCAAGTGCCACTGCATCGCTGCAGAAGGCAGGCGCCGGGAGTGGCTGGGTGGGTAATGCCGGGAAGAGGTAGGACAGGCTGCATGGTCTCTTCGCATCTCTAATTTTAACAGGTTCACATGTCTTGGAGTTTCACCTCCTTTCCATCTGCCTTAGCTTCTGTTTCATGACATCGTGGTGTTGCCATTTACCCAGAGCTTGTGGACAGGTAAAGAGCTAATAGGAGTTTTATCTAAGTATATTTTCAGACCAGGGACTCGAACCAGTCTGTTGAAGTTTCGGTGAATGCACTAATTGCCCACCGTTTGCTCTTCAAAGATAGTAATTCCTTAGTTATTCCTTCCTATCTGAATTAAGACTGCCTGGTTCACTCAATTTGTTGTCTCTGTGGCGAGTTTGCAGCTCAGCAAAGGGGGGAGCTGCCCTCCACTGACCCAGCCTGAGGCTCTGAGCCTGCCCTGGGTGCCCTCCTTTGGACATGAAGCCACAAAGGGGAGAGTTCGGTAAATCTCCGTTATCCCCAGGACATGAAATTATAGAGTCAAGACATTACCAGGGTACACACGGCTTCCGTGTGCACCTGGATTAGTTCACGTGCTGTGTCTGTAGTTTCTAGAGCAGGAACTCTCAAGGTCTGGCTCCTGGCTTCAGACCGAGCATCTCATTTTCTACTTTCTTTCCACTAAAAAGTTTCATCCTGCTGTATTGAACTTGCCAGGAATGCTGGCTAATGCAAAATAAAGATCATCTAGAACATTGTATCTGGTCTGAGAAGAAAAAAAAAAAAGAAAAAAAAAAAGGTATTATAATTTAACTGTTGTGGTGGTAATGTTTTAGCATGAGCAGAGTGCCAAACTGACAAAAGAAACCCCCATCCACACCCTGGTGAAGATGTGAGGCTGTACCCCAGCAAACAGAGTGGTTGCCTCTGGGATGGAAAATATTTCAATACTTTGCTTTGAAAACATGCAGAGATATTAACATTGAACTGGGGAAGATGCGCATTATCTGCCACAACCAGCAAAGTGCACCTGCAGATGAGTCAAATGTGACATTTCATCTGTGCTTCACAATTGTGTGAGGAAACGATCATGATGAACACTATCCACCGCTCGCAGGAGAATCACAGAAGCCTCACAGAGGCCATTTCCTCCACACAGTCTCGAATTAGGGCTTATAGCAGCTTCAGCTAGTGCATGGGCCTTCCACCAAGAACTGAATTTAAGGTTAAATCTGGGTTAGCATGACACCGTCTGTCTAACATACTCATCTTGCATGAGAAGATGGTGCACATTTGCAAACATTTT